CTCTCTCTCTCCATAGTTTACTTTGTAATTTGTCCTGAATATGAGTCTTTTCAACCAGCCTATATTTTTACAATTCTTTTGTATGACACAATGGATTATGTATTGGGCGGCTAACTGCAAGGTTGGTAGTTTGAATCCACCAGCAGTTTTAAGGGAAACTGATATGGCAACGTGTTCCTGGAAACCCCAGTGGGAGTAATATTGTGTCCAACATCGTCACATCAAGTTAGGCTTAACTCAATGACCGTGACCTTTCTTTTGTAATGCACCATCAAGTCAGAACCAGCCCACTGCTGACCCTCCAGAAGGTTTTTAGAGACAGTTAATCACACGAGAGAAGACTGCCCATCTTCCTTTCATGCAGCAGCCATTAGAAGCTCTGGCAGTTTAGTGGTAAGAAACTGGGCTGCAATCCCAAAGGCAGATGGTTCGAATCCCTAGCTAGCTGCTCCATGGGAGAATGATGGGCAAACTCCTCCCCTTTGATTTACTGCCTCTGAAAGCCCGCTGGAGGGTCACCTGTGGATTAGTCCTGTCTCAACAGCAAACAACACAGCTACTTTTAAATTTCCAGCACAATTCCTTAGCACTAGGACATGAGATAATAAGATAACCCAATGGTACTATGGAGAATGAAAGAAGGTAAGTCTTTTCATTCAACTTGGTAGAAAAATAAATCCGTGTACCACTCACATCAATATTATTATCCTTAGTTGCCTGTGAAAACCTGCCAGGGGGTCAGCTATGGGTTGGTTCTGACTCAATGGTACACAACAACAACAACAACAAATAAGCATACAGTGACCAGGAACATTCCTTTTTGAATAACGGATTATTAGCAATACATTATCATCCCTCCTAAATTGCTGTCAATAGGATATCGCGTTATCCCCATGCTCAAAAACGCAAATGTATTGCTCTTGAGCTGCAACCGGCTTTACAGTTCATTCTGCACTGAGTGTTCAAGTCTGTAAACTGCACAGGAGAAGACTGACCACCTTTCTCCTATGGACTCCCTAGTGCATTTTAATGTACCAGTGAACATAGCCTTTGAGCTAGCTGTGAAACTCTAGGCCAGGAGGGTTCCCAGAGAAAGACACTTTAAGCTCATTTTTTCCTATGAGGAAATTGAAGCCCGAACAGTTATGTAACTTGCATGAGGGCACTCGGCGGGTAGCTGAAAGAGCCGAGAACGAACCACAGAGGAATCTGATTCTAAATGGGAATCCCTCAAAGACAATCTTCCAAGGGCTCTGTGGGGCTGTCACTGTCATTTCAACCTGGAGGACAGTCCCTGGGCTGTGTCCTCCTGGTATCAAATAGGGATGGAGATGAACCACGTTATTCAGAGGACCAGCGATTATCAGCCTGGCTAATGACACGAGCCTTTTCCCGGCTTCTTTTATGCAGCCGTAGTGAGAGTCTCTGTCATAATCTCCTCTCAGTGGGGAAACAAGTGGGGTTACCAGGTGAACAGTCCACTGGGCCACTCTTTCTCATTTGTCTACTGACAAGCTAGTTGCAGCCACCAGGAGAAACCAGCAGCTAAATGCAACTCTTCATGAGGCTGTCAGAATACCCAAACCCACTGCCCTGGAGCCATGCTAACTCATGGGGACCCATGTGTCAGAGGGGAACTGCCTGATTTTTGAGGCTCATGACCTTTCTGGACCATATCAACAGGCTTTTCTTCTGAGGTGCCCTCTGAGTTGATACAAATGAGTAAATTTTCAGTGAACAGATGAGTGTATAACTCTTTGCATCACCCAGGGATTTCCCCACAGGGCTTAGGGGCTACAATACCTTTGAGTACTGGGCAGCCGAAGCTTCCCAGTGCTCCCCTAACAGCTGTCACATCTGCTCAGAGGGTTTGGTGCCAGAACCCAAAGTACTAATTTCTCCCTCTGACAAAACCCCTCTTACGCTTGCAGGAAAGAGCACTGAGCGAGGGTCCTTCTGAGGCAACATAGATGCAAAAGTCCAAAGCAATCTCTGTCTGACACCAAGAGAATGGGGGTACATGTGTGTATTGAATTTTCTGCCTGCCAGTTCTCTATCATTTAGTGTGGTTGAGCCAGATCTGACTCCTAGCTGACCCTCCAGCAGGCCTTCAGAGGCTGTAAATCACATGGGAAGAGACTGCTCATCTTTTTGGAGAGGGTGGGTTGGCTCAATTGCACCCCTCTTTACCATGAAGTCTCTGGACCCTAACCAGCTGCCTGGTCCTCAGTTCTCCTGTTACCAGGCCTTGGATTTTTCTGAAGACTGTTTCAGTGTTTGTTTTCATATTCCTGCCATTAGTTTAGTGTTTCTTTTTATATTCCCACGTTTTAAGAAAACATCAAAGATCCGCTATTCCCTCCTCCTTCCGCTGTTCAGTCATGAGCACAGACCCATGCTGTGTTGGTGACAGTTCTACAGGGTGATCAAGGGAATGGAGACCTGAGCTCCATTCATGCTCGTTATTAAACCCCAATAGTCTCTGAATTAGGGAGCTCTGGTAGCCTAGTGGTAAGAAGCTGGGCTGCAATCCTGAAGACACGCAGTTCAAATCCACCAGCTGCTGTGCAGAAGAAAGAAAGACGGGCAATCTCCTCCGGTGCGATCAACTGCCTCTGAAAACTCGCTGGAGGGTCAGCTATGTGTCTCTTCTGACTTGATGATCCACAACAACAACAGTCTCTGAACTTGACCCTCAACTCCCAAAAATTCACATTGCAGTCAAGTTGGAACCAACTCACAGCTGAACCTCTGCTGAGTTTCACAGGCTGTGGAAACTCCATGTGACCCAGTTATTCCTCAAGGGAACTGAAACTGAGACACAAATGGGGATTTGTAACCAAGTTCTTAGCAGTGTTAGTCACCATCGCAAGAGCATGGAAACAAGCCTAGTTGTCCAATCATAACTGAATGGATTGAAAAATTGTGGTACATTCACCTGGTGGAATACTATTATGAGCACTCAGGAGCAA